TCACTGGAATCACTTCAAAGCGTTTTTTTTCCAGCTGATGAACGATAAGAAGATTGACGGCCAATCAGAATTAATTCTGCTTTAAAGAGCGCAAGCACTGAAAGCGCCATACGACAAAGTGTGTGAATATAATAAACAATGTTATTGTGCACTGGTATGGATGCTAATAGAGTTATCGTTATCTTCATAGTTATAGTTTTTGGTGTGAACTGCCTTAAGACCCAAATGAATCTGCTTGATGGGTGTAGTTAGGGTTAAGGTTTTTTTGGGGTTGTTTATATATAGCCAATAGCTTTTGCTTTAATTCCCAGCCATTAGCATGACTTGCTACTTGCTAGTGCTAATTTGTATGATGGGAGTGCATCCAGATTTTATAGAAAAAAACATTTGTGTGCCCAAGAGGACTCATCAAGATAACAAATGCACCATGTTAAATTTTATGAGTGCATTAGCATATAGATGCTAGCCTCAGAGCTAACAGAAAAGGACTAAGTCACAAAACTCCAAATTTGATTTAATGGGGCTGTTAAAAGGTGACAGATGTGCAAACCTGACCAGTAAACAAGATTCACTGAGTAGAATATGAATGCTAATGTACAGTTAGCCATATCCACCTTATTTTCCCCGTAAGAGCGGGCACAGTCATTTGTAAATTGAATGCGTCTGGCTTCCAGTGTCATTCACTTCCAGGTGTTTTCAGCTGTACAAAACAACTCGATTTGCTGCTTGATTGCAAACTGGGGTTTCTTACCATATTATTTTAATGTATCATCTTAATTACAAACACACCGGTTTTTAGCGCAAACGGTTTTACCATTTACTGCATTTTGTTATTCTTCTCGTTATTTCCCTACAGCGGCTAATGAACCAGAAGTCTCGCACATTTACAGAAAACAGCTTACTTCTGCATTGAAAAATAAGGTGGATAGCATTCACTTTGGATCACACAACAAACTAGTGGCATTTTTGCTTACCGATGCTATTGCGTAAATGCACCATTTGCGGTTACCGGCAACTCTTAGTATGATTCATGTATTTTTGCTATTGAAATGGAAGTTCGAGATAAAGTGATCAGTTTTCAGCTCATGTAATCTCAAAGATGTCTGCCCCCATTAGGCGACCCTCTCAATGTAGAATAAAACGGCTTTTAAAGGGATAGTTCACCCCCAAACCTGTATGAGTTTCTTTCTTCTCTTGAACACAAAAGAAGATATTTTGAAGGATGTTGGTGACCAAACAGTTGTCCCCATTGACTTTCATAGTATGAGGGGGAAGAAAATATTATGGAAGTCAAAAACTGTTTAGTCACCAACATTCTTCAAAATATCTTCTATGTTCCATAGAAGAAAGCAAGTTGAGGGTGAGGGTTTAATAGCAAAATATGAGGAAAAACCTGCATCGTTAAAACTATATTTGGCCTCAGCTGAACTTGCATGGCATGTCAGGAGGTGGGTATAAACCCGGAAATAGACGAATCCTGTTCAGAGTGACTGACATGTGTTTATCCCACAGTGTTGTCCTCCCAGTTCTCCTGACATCTTTTAGTAATCTGTAGATTAACGCGTAAGACCCCTCTGTCAACCCAGTGAACACACGACTGTGTGCAGTTTACCTGTACAGCGATTAAGCAGACAACCATATGGAGGCTCACGCTGGAATTCAGCATCAGATTCTCACACCCAGTCACACATTTCATCACTTTGCTCTCTGGACAAACGTGCAGGTTGATCATGGGACCCCTGTTGGGAAGAGACTTTAAAAAAACAATGCAATTATAGCAGTCAGTGCAATAATGTGTAGTAAGATGCGTCACACATGTAAACTGCTGAACTAATCGTTGTCTAGGTGGTTTTGTGATACGTGGCTCTTGCTAAGTCAAGCATCACTATTACTAGTGCTCATAGTTAGCATTAGTGACCTGATCAAACCCCTTACACTAAGTACTAACTATTGTGTAACTACTGTGCTCCAGACATGAATGATTCCTCAAATCTGCTCAGCAATATGCAAAAAAACACCCAGAACACCTGTGACTGCATAGCAACTTTTGCATGGGTAAACATCACATCATTAGAAAATCTTGTTTTTGTTAGTAACACACTGTTGATTAATGGCTTTTAACAGCTTTCAGAGATGTCTGCTGCATTAGCGACCATGTTATGCCCTTAATTTGTGTTTATGGCCCTGTTTGCCCCTGCAGGATCAAAAGACAGTTTACCCGCTTCACAGCCCAGAAAGAAGAAGGTTAAACTTTCCTCCTTAACACTTAATCTGATACTCTTAACGTTGTTAAAGCTGATGTTCCTCGGGAGGCGCTGACGCACTTCGGCCTTTAATCGGCTGATTAGATGCCTCACCTGTCAGTCAAACGTTCTCTCCTCCCCCTTATTCTAAAAGGGTCCACAGGCTCCTCCCACTCTGACATCACCAGCTAAATCTTTCCATGACTGAGAGAGAGATTACAGCATGGTGCACGTATACACAAAAACCAACACTTAAAACATACGCTTAAAGATCTTTTCCATTCAACAGTTGTTCATAGTGGTGACTATAAATAATACTATAACTAAAAGTACAAAACTAGTAGTTCTCTTGACTATAAGTCTTTAAGTCTTCTGAAGCAATAGCTTTATGTGAGAAGCAGGCCCAAACAGTATTTTCAAATACATTGCACACAAACACACACGTAATACCAAAGAAGACCAGTAGAGGGAGACACTGGTCACGAGTCACGGATGTTGGTTGATTTAATAGGATTAAATTAGATCAATTAATGTTTGGTTTCTAAAAGCACGCCTCTGCACTGGATGTCTGAAAACCTCAAATTAACCTATGAGCATAAGGAACAGTAAAACAAAAAAAAAACTTTTTAAAACTATTATAAAATCAAAATTGACATCAGTTGAAATTTACAAATTTACATCGACAAAAAGTCAATGATGTAAAAATTCAAAAGTATGAGATAAATTGTTACAATTATTAAATACTAAATCAATTATGAGAAGAAAAAAAATCACAATTATGAAAAGTTGAAATCAACAGACAAAATTACAAAACCAATTATGAGATAAAAAGTCAAGATTATCAGTATTAATTATGACAATTTAAATTGACAAAAGTTAAGTCAATCATGAACTAAAAAATCTAAATCATGACAAAAAAGGCAATTATGTAAAAAAAAGAGACAGTCATAATTATCAAATACTAAGTAAATTATGAGATAAAAAGTCAAAATTATGAAACATCAAAATTAAGTCAAAATTATGACACAAAAGAGATAGCCAACAATGAGAGATAAGCTTAATTTATGACAAAAAAAGTCTAAATTCTGAAAAGCCGAAATCAACAAAAAGTCATACTTGCAACATAAAAAGAAATTGAGATAAACAGTCATAATTATAAAATACCAAGTCAATTATGAGATTTAAAAAATCAAGATTAGGACAAAAACTATTTTGAGATTAAAAAGTCAAAATACTGACAGTGATGATTATGACATGTTTAAATTATGAGTCGAAAAAAGATTTCTCATTAAATTATGAGAAAAGTGTTACAATTTTTAAAAATCTAAATTGACAAATTGAAATAAAACAATTATAAGATAAAAAGTCAAAATGACTACATACTAAGCCGTAATTTATGGCAACAAGTCAATGATGACAAATTGAAAATATGATTAAAAAGTCAAAATTTTGATCAAATCAAAACAGTAAAAAAAAAAAAATCTAAATTCAAGTCAAGATTATGAAACAAGTCGACTTATGTCAATCACGTCTACTTATGTCAATCTTGACATTTTATCTCATAATTATGATTTTCTCTTATGTGGCAGAAATGGGTTTCCATACATAAGAGATCTTTGCTGGCAAGTATTTTTTGGATTGATATTCTCCGGTTATATTGGGTCAAAACTGTGATTCGTGCTACATGTGACACGGTTTCTCCGGGAGCAAAATCCACAGCACAGATCTCATCTCAACGGCATTTTCCAAACGCTTCCAACACAGATCATCACTTTATCTTGTGCAACTCACTCATAATCAATCCTACACAAAGTTACCCTTAGTGTCTCCTAGTTTTTAATGGAAAGAGGTTTCTTTTTCCGCATGAGGCGGGAAGAAACCACCGCACAAACACCCAAAACATGACCAGGAATGAGCTGAATTTGAATTTATGAGCACAGATTTGAGATTTCCCGCACATAAACGACCACATCTGCTCCTCAGTGCAGGTCACAGAGCTTTAAAATCATCTCGAGGTATTACACATCATCCTATTGAGGACTCATAAATCAGAATAAAGATGGGAAATTCAATCTGCTGACGGTCTCATGGGTGACAGATAAACACCAATCTAATGGCATCGTTCACTGACGACGGATGGATTGAGCAAATCAACGCAATGAAAATAAATCCCATGAACCTTTGGGAAATGATGTTTAGCCTCTTGCTGAGGTGCTCTGGGTGGTTTCTTCCTGTCTGGCAGGAAAAGAGTCCTAAACCTTCAAGTCTTTGTGACATTGTGGTCTTGATTTATTAAGCTTTGAGTCGCTGGCCATATTTCTGGACAATTACAGCACAAAATGAGCAGATATGTGTGCCAATCCCAGATAAACGTGATGTTTCATCAATGTAAAAAGAAAGTGATTACAATATAGAAGACTTCCTGTAGAAAATTTATTACTGTTGTTACAATAAATACATTTCTGAATTGCACGTACAACGTAAGCAGAAAGTCTCTTTCTTTACAGGACCTTGTTGAGGACTGAAGCAGATAATAAAGCATGTGCAATTATGAATTTCAGCATTTGTGAGAAACCTGTCAGGAATAATGGGTCATGTTTCAGCCTAATATCAAAAAGGGGGGGGGGGAAAGAAACTAAAGCCTATTAATTTTTTTAAAACAAAATAATTCTCATTACCGTAATACAAAATTATAATAACAACCATGTGTCTGGACATTTTTCTTGTTATAAATTCCTAACGGAGGAGGAAATGCTCTCACGTCATGACCGACGTCTCTTCCAGGAAGGCCTGAGCGGTTACGTCACATTTGATGTTCTTAACGGCGACCCGCTGGCCTGCGTATTCACCCTCCAACACGGCTGAAATATTAGCAGAACCGTCAAGATTCATACAGATAAAACATCTATTATAAAACAGAGTTTGGCAACCACTTTGTGGGGGTGGAGTCAAAAGTAAAAAAAATTATATTTTATTTAAACAATTATCATCAAACAATTATATTCATTTAGTAACATAAATATAGCTTAGTGTAGGATATCTTTAGAGTTTTATTAATTCATTATCTTCTTGTCGATCCACCAGTTCACGTTTACAACTGCGTGTTTTCTGCGTAAAAAAAAAGTGTCGTTTTTGGCTTTGGTCTAAAAATAAAGAGCAGAAGGGCTTATTGAAAAATGCAAATTCATTCTGTGCCAGCAGGTGGCGCTTCTCGCCAGTAATTTAGCCGTTTCTCCCGTAACCACAGTAAACAAAACAGTGCAGAAACACCTAACTTTGAAACTTGCAGCGCTCATATTTAATCAAATAAATAGACTTTTGAAGTGTAAGCTATAGGGCTGCACGATCGTCGATCGTGTGAGAAAGATGCGTTTCATACAAGATCTGGCAACCGGACAACCTTGGAATTTGCTGTCGTGATTATTCATATAATGAGGTTCTTCTGCGGGGTGTATGTGGAGTTTCTCTGGCCTTTGGATGGAGATTTACTGCTGATCACAGAACCGTGCTTCACTGAAAGATACGCATGACAATCACAGCTTCTGTCGAATTCCATTTTGATTTATTGTGCAGCCCTAGTAAGCTATATCTCATTATACATGTAAATATACATTTACATATTTAGTTTTTTTCACTGCACCACCTGAGTCTTCTCCTCCCATTTCTACCAGTGATCATTGTTTGAGTGGACAAATGGGTTGAAATTTGTATGCGTCGATCGTGTGAGAAAGATGCGTTTCATACAAGATCTGGCAACCGGACAACCTTGGAATTTGCTGTCGTGATTATTCATATAATGAGGTTGGCCCATACAAATTACGGGAGTTTTACCGGAAGCGAATGTAGCAAACATATAAAATACGCCCAGTGGGATTTTATTTTATTTTTTTATAGAAAAATTTAAAATACGGGAGAAATACGGGAAAATATTTAAACGGGATTATAGCGGGATAGAATGGTAAAATACGGGAGAATGCCGGGAAAAAACGGGAGGGTTGACAGGTATGATCACTACACTTTATTTGCTCCGTTTTATTTTGTGAAACCTTATATGGAATAACCGTTTTATAAAAGCAATAAGCCCCGTGAAGCAGTGTTTTAGTGAATTTATAACAGCTAAGGTGGTCCGCTTCGTGTCGTGCCTAACAACGCCCCTTAGCGGTTATAAATTGCTACACAGGGCTTACTGCTTTAACAACATACATTATTACATTTACAACAACCAAGTCTAAATGATTGCATCATGTGTAGCACATCACGAGTATCATCGAAACAATCTAAATCAATGTATTATCTCTAATGCTATAACCTCAGGAGTTATGGAGAATTTACATTTATTTGTTTAGCAGATGCTTTTATCCAAAACAAAATGAGGAATACGACAAATAACACGAGAAGCGCTTAAAATACAAAAATTCTATAGAACAGTACAGGCTTGAATAGAAAGAGGAGCCTTTAAGAAATAGTGATGCATTTTTGTTTTTAAACATACCCTGCATATTTATACATAGCTACATATAATTTAAACTCAACGAATTATACATAAAAATGCGTAACAGTTTTAATTTATTTAACATTTTAAATTTATATATAATGTTATATATTTAATTAGATTGCTTTTTAATAATATTACATGCATTAAATTTTTAAATCGAGTTAATTGAATATATGTATTAATTTAATAATGTATTTGTTAATTTATTAATTTTTAATTTATAAAATGTATAGGTATTTATATTTATGTATAATATATAGTTCTACTTTTTAGTATTACGTTAATTTGATTCATGTATTTAATTAGTATATTTATAATTAACAATTTATGTATTAATATTTTTATGGAATATTACATTATTTTGTATTTTGTATCAATGTAAAAATGTACTATATGTACTATCAACCACATTATTTATTTATTTTATATATGACGCACTGGATTGCCAAGATAAAAACGGGTTTAAAATCATTTATTTCTAAAATGCTAACTGAACACTGCTCACTGATTTAAACACAATGTAATGAGGTCATGTGACATGTAGCATACTGTGCATAATATACTTTTTACATATTATCTGTAAATACAGTGTGCACTTAGCCGTAAGCTAGTGCTCCGTTCAAACGCTGCTCTCTAGTGGTTCTACAATAACGGTCCACAGGAGTCACACATTCAGAAGCAAAGCATACCACCGAACTCTCCCTCTCCGATGACCTCTCCTAACGTCAGCATCGACAGATCCAGAAGCCAGCCGGCTGTAACACAGAGCCAGATTTACAGTGTTACACTCCTAGAAATCCATCCTCAGGGTTTCTGGACCTCTTTTAAGTCACACTTACACTTCAACAGCTTGGTCTCGGCAGATTTCGTGCCTTCCTTCTTCTTGGGCTTCAGCAGAAGCGTAGCGAGGGCGCCTTGATTTCTGCTGTGAAACTAAAACAAACACAGCATTCACAAAACCAGTCGTATCTACAAACCACATATGCTTCGTGTTTAAAAACGAAACCCAAACACACAAATATCCCCTTTAAATTCCCAATAAAGTCTTCAAAACATCAGGTACAGTTAGAAAGTGTGATGCAACGTCTATAAGAGGGAGTCGAGATGAATTTCCTATACTTTATCTAAATCATGTTTCAAAATGTAATAAATTAATGTAAAAATCACAGAGGCATTGCAAAAAAAAAAATCAATAATAATAATAATCGCACCACATAATGTCACAAGAGTGATTAAAAATAACGAAATGTGAAAAATAATAATAAATTGTATTATTTTTATTATAAATAATAATAGACCATATTTGAAAAATACTTTCACACCACACTGCCACTTATAAAAAAAGCTCAGACGTGATAGAAAAATAAACAAAAATAAAATAAAATGTAAAAAATAAAATGTTATACCTTTTATTTTTATATTTATTTATATTTTAAATGAAATCAATGTTTATATTTAATTAATATTATATATAGGCAGTAGATTTATATCTTAAGATTTAATTTAATATTATATATTTATACTTTTACATTTATATATATATTTATACTTTTACACGCACACACATATATATATATATATATATATATATATAAGTTTTTATTTTAGTAGTTTTTAAAATGTCTTTATGTTAAAATTAATTTTAATTCATGTGTTTATTAAAAAATATAATTTTTGGGCCTTTATCAACTCTTTCTTTCACTTCTTTTTTATTTTTTGCAGTAAAGGTCATATGAAGGTCATGTTAGCAAAATTGTTTTAGAAAAAATAGCCTCTAAATATCTATTTATCTATCTAAAAAAAAAATCAATACATAAAAAAATAGCTGTCACACTACATGACCTCTTGACTGCCAAAAAAAAAGAAAAAAAGAAAACCTGTAAAAGTGCCCACCCAAAAAAAAACTCGATACGACATGTGAAAAAGACATTGTTAAAGATTGTCACACAACACAACCACTTTTAACCATATTTCCCCTTCAGAACCACAAGACCCGAACAGCGCGGCTGTGTCTCTGGAAAGCCGAGATAAATGAAGACACGTGCTCAAATTAGCCGCCGCACGCACCTCGATCATGTCGATGAGGTTGTAGAAGAACTGCTTGCTGTCGATGCTCAGTTTGTTGTCTCTGAAGATGACTCTGTAGTGGAAGACCTTCTCACTGAAGCAGACGCACAGCACGAAGTCGCCGGGATGCCGAACCGACTCCCGCACCAGGAACAGCCCGTCCTCCGCGGGCTTGAGTTTGCCGACGGCTTGCGGTCCCGATATTTTGCCGTGAAACCATCTGAGAAGATTGTAGACAACATCAGGCCTTAAATAAGCTCTGCTGACATAAACTAACCACATCCTGTCCTTCTGTGGAGTAACTGCCGGCTTGTTCCTCATCGCAGTTCTTCAGATTTCTGATCACTTACGGCATGAGGCTTAATTTGGGGTCTATTCGGAGGGCTTCCCTTTCTCTGAGGTTCGAACCCGAGACCAGTCCTTCCTCTCCCGTTGTGTTATGTCGGGCTCTGTATTCCCCTTTCCTCTGAAAACAAACTTTAGTCAACCTCTGGTGACTTTATTTGGGAGAATGGGTTTAGGAAAAGTGCTTAACTTACCGTTCCAGGTCCGGCGACTGTCAAGACATCACCTTTGTGATACGCTACTTCACCCGCTTTAGGTGTGCAGTGCTGCTTTTTGGCCACGCACTGAGTTCCTGCCATCCAGTTCATCTGGAGTAATAATAATAATAGAGTAAGTAGTCAGAAGTGAGGCGTCGGCTAATATTTATCAGAATGTCTTCGCTTACCATCGCCATGTGTTTGAGCACCGAACATCTGAAGAGCCTCAGACCGTCAACCTGATGGAGAGACTGCGGTTAAAAGCACAGAAGAAAAGATCGGACATGATGATTTAACATGTTACAGCCGTGTAAAATGGTGTACTTCAACTAAATTAGGTTTCTAAAAATGATAGAGAAAAAAAAAAAAAAAAAAAGCCCAAAAAATGTATTCCAAAAACAAACAAAAAACATTTTTTGGCATTGCAGAGGTGATTAAAATGGTGATAAATGGCCCCAAAAACAAAGAAAAGGTCCAGAAAATATTTGAAAATTAAAAAAAAAATTTGCACATTAATTTGATAATAGCAATAATTAATATCAAGCCACATAGCCACTTTAAAATGATTAAATGTAATCAAAATGACCCAAATTCATAAAAAAAAACAAATACACACATAAATTAAATAATTCTCACCGCAAAAAAAAAAAAAGGTACAAATTAAGAAAAAAAAACTCAATATGAAAAAAAGTCCCCAAAAACCTCAATGCATATGAATTGAAAAATATATCAAATTAATATTACACTAAATTGGCACTTTAAAAAAAAGTTGAAAATCCTCAATACACGTGCTAAATAACAACAATAATATTAATCACACCATGAAACCTTGACTGCAAAACATTTTTATAAAATAAGGTGATAAAAAGTAGAAAAAATAATAATAATAACAATATGAAATGTTGTCACATTTCATAAAAAAAAAGGTATTTTAAAAGTGAGTGTACAAAAATGTAAAATAAATTAGTAAATAAATAAAAACCCACATTCAAAACTTTGTAAATTTTGCATAACCCCTTGCCTAGAAAAAAGCTAAAAAGTTATTTAAAATGTGTAAAATGGTACAAAAAAAGAAAACGCCTCTTACCGCTTACAGTAACTGCTAAAAAAGCCAAAAGGCAACTAAAACAAAGAAAAAAAGGAAAAAAAAACCCACCTTAAATACACACAAAAAAGTTTAATGTTCATATACTTACTACAGATCAAGATTATAAATCAATCCAGAAGAAATCCTTACACACGATATAGTTAAACATTAAACTAGTACTTTTCTTAACCCAGTGCTGTATGAACACAAACAAACAAACTATATTCTTCATATTTTTCAGGTTTCATTTCACTCACCAGTATGAGTTAGTTAGTGAATATGTTGCGGGTGTCACTCTGTGTGAGAGGTTACTCACTCATCAGAGGTTTAGTCCACACGCGCTCACTTCCTCCTGATGTTCACCCCGTGGCTCTGACGTGTTTTCCACCCCTATTTATGGCCATATAAAGTGTCAAAAATAAAAGGCAAAAAACAAACAGACACAGACGGGTTGTGAAGTCTGATCGTTTTCTCCTTTTATTTAGCTAAGCAGCACTACACAGATATTCCAACTGAAAGAAAGTTCACACTATAATCGTTCACAGTCCTACAAAACGAGAACAAGCACTCAGCAGGAACATTTAAAAACACCGGGAAATGATTGCATTATACATAAAAACGTGGCAGAACGCAAATCCAGGCGATATATGAATAATCAATTCAATATACTAACAGCAATCTTTCTAGCAAACTGCGCATCTCTCGTTAGATTTTACTCTTGTATATAAAAATGTAAGAATAGAGAGGTATTACATTATATTGCAACATGAAGAACCGTAAATTCACCTCCTCGTTCACGTTTCAAGTACTTTAAATCTTTACCGCAGGCACGTGTGAAGAACCACAGACTTTACGTTGTGTTTTCGCGTCGTTCGCTAGAGAACAACGGCTCGATACCCTGTCGAAACGCCAGCTTCTCGCCGTGAAATGAGCGATTATTCAGTATGCAAATAAAAATAATGATAGCAGAGAAGTAATAAGTCAAATTTTTTTTTCTTCCTTCGTCGGTTACAGATCTGACGCGTAAACGTGTATAAATCCAGTGTCGGGTTAATAAACAACCACACAAAGCTGAATCGTGTCGCTTTTAACAGCTTATTAGTCAAAACTAATAACTACTTATTTTAAAAACTTATTTTTTTTAAGATACACAGCAGAGAAACTAATTTTGCATTAACATCATACATAACATTATAATATAATACATTATAATAATATTATATAGAATAGTATTAATATTTATAAATATATCTAAATATTTTGTGTTTTATACAGTGGGTTCCAAAAGTCTGAGACTTAATTAAAAAATTTTTTTTAATTAAATCTTCTCCAAAACAATTTTAAAGCAATGCCCATCTGTTTATTTATTCAGTGTCAATAAATTACCTTAATTTCATTAGACATGAAAAAAATAGAAATATTCCTTAATAATTTTATGTTATAATGTTCGTTTTACATTTTTCAAAACAATAAAACACATTTATTTTTATGTTAAAATGCCTGAAAAATAAAAACATCAATGTGGATCATGAGTTTTGGGCCCCACTGTATAAAAAAAAAGTGTGTGTGTGTGTGTGTGTGTGTATATGTATATGTATATATATATAATGAATGATGTAAACATAAAAAAAGACTGGCCTGTGTCGGGATTATTAAAGCTTTTAATTAAGTGCCATTAATATGTCAAAGTGCCTAATAGAGCTAATGTGATGTAACTTTTATTATATGGCGGTCGCTGATGGGCAGCGACGTTCAGTCACCATCTGAAACACTGAAAACGAGATGCGACTGCTGCATTTCAGGAGCATTTCGGCTTATTTTCAGCTCAGATGTAATAGAGAGACGTATTGCATCATAAAAGGTGAACGACTAAGTTTTTTCCATCTATTGTCCTTTTGAACAACAGAACCATTGAGTGTTGTATTTTTTCCTCTTCGAGTGATATTTATACATTTCTAAAGACATGACAGCTTGTGTAGATTAGGCGGACGTCTCAAGGGTCGTGAGAATCGTCTATTTTATCCTTCTTTCCGTCGGTTTCTCCCTCGCCGGTGTCGCTGCCGTCGCGCCGTCTCTTGCGGTTTCGAGCTCCGGCCTTTGAGACCGGCAGTGAGCCCATGCCGAGGACTTTATGGATCTGACGGAAAGCCAGCAGTCGTAGCGCGTGCTGAAAAACAAAGACATGTCGCTTTCAGAATAAGCATGGATCACGCAAATGGAAATGTTGGCTAGTCGAGCCTCGTTTAGTACCTGGGCACTAGCGGTCACGTCCTCCCGAGCTTGTTTCGACATGTTTCCCAGAGCGTCAGTTTGACCTTTCTCACACGGGTCAAGAAGACCTGGACCATCTGAGGGGTGGACAGACAGTTAAATAATATAAATGTAAGTGCACACGGGTTAAAAAACGTTTTGCGAAAGATGCATTTGTGATGTATTTTAATAGTTAGAAGGTAACTACTGCATCTCACCCAGTGTTGTTTTTAACTAAATCTAAAACGATTAAAAATCGTTTTTGTTAAGTGAAATAAAGCCGAAATAAAACTAAATATAAATGTTACATTTAAAATTCGAAACGCAAGTAAAATTAAATGTAAGTGCACACGGGTTAAAAAACGTTTTGCGAAAGATGCATTTGTGATGTATTTTAATAGTTAGTTATATATATATATATATATATATATAAATTAAACTAAGACCTGGCAGGATAATCCCGGTGGCGATGCATTCGAGGACCCTCCGTAGAGCTTCTCCAGGACTGAGTGGACCTGATGCACTACTAATGGCTTTTTCCACAAGCAGCTCCATGGCCTTTGCGAAAGAAAACACAAACCAGTTAGTTAATATGATCATGACTGGCTAAAGCAAAAAACACTGTTAGCAAACAAAGCTAACTGACCCAGTCGGGCATCTTGCCCCAGGCAGGTATGCGCTGACACAGATCCCGCAGAACCCGAATAATGATGACGCAAGACTGAAGACCGTTCGCCCGAGCCTGTGGACGAAACTCATTAATATGCAACAATCACAGCTAACAGCAGCACTTCAGTTAACAACACAAATTTAAATGTTAAACGATAATGCTAATGCTACTAAAATTATTCAACGGTTGAGTCTAAGACCAGAATCATACTCTACGTAAGTTCGCAAACACTCAGCCTTTGTATCGCAAGTGCACGGTTCCATTGTACACGCTTAACTACAAATTTAGATAGTTAGCTAGCTAACATGCTAACCAGTTGACGATAAACTAAACAGACTTGCTCTGCGGTATTCTTTTCAAATAGTTTCTCCTGAAAATGAAAAATAATCGCTGAAGAAAAGTTCACGTTAATGTCCTTTACAGCACCCCTTGTGGCAATACTGAAAATAAGATGCACTAGCAATGCGTTCCGACATATTCATATTAAAGAAATCAAACTTGTGTTGATAGAAGCAATAAATACTTGTATACGGTATGATTGGGGTTTAGGCAAAAGTCAGTACCATGTCGGTTAACTACGTGTAGATTTCCCAATAGCGATTTTTAAAAAAAGTTAATTTAGTGCTTAAATAATACTTAAAAAAATTTATCTACCTTTAGCTACCTTTTGCTAGTAGCTTGAAGAGCAGCAACTCATTTTTCAGAAATATTTTTTTATGCATGCCTAACTCAACTACGTTAATATAATTTCCTGTAGCTATGTAAAGCATAACAATGACGCAAGACTGAAGACCGTTAGCATAAGCCTGTGGATAAAACGCAATACGCGAGCAACAGTTAATAAAAACTGTAAATGCTAATGCTAAAATGTTACTAAAATTAAACAACCGTGAGTCTAAGACCAAAAGCATACTCTACAGAAGTATGTGAATACACAGTTCCATTGCACATGCTTAACTACAACTTATTAGTCAAGTAATTAGCTAGCTAACATGCTAGCCACTTGCCAATCAACTTAGCTGACTTGCTCTGCGATATTCCATTCCAAAGCTTGGTAATGAAAGAGAAAACTGACTGTAGAAGAAAAAAAGTCTATGCTAATGACCACTATAGTGCCCCTTGTGGCAATACTGAAAATAAGATGCACTAGTATTGCATTACTAATTGTGTTCCGACACATTTAGAAACTCAACTACGAATGAAGTCAGCCTTACGTTGATAAAAGCGACACTTACATAGAGTATGATTCAGATTTAAGCGAAAGTGAATAGCATGTTGGTAGCTAAATTACGCTTTCTCAATAACGATTTTTTTAGCTATCAAGTCAATTGTGTGTTTAAATACTTCTTCAAACCTTAAAAAAATTCACTATATTCAAGCTACTTTTCGCTAGTAACTTTGTAGAATAGCTACTACTTTTTCAGAAAGATTTTTTTTACTTTTTGCCTAATGTAACAATGCTACAATTTAACAATGTAACTATGTTAAATTATGAGTTGCTTGTAGCATAGCAAAATATAATTACAAAGGAGCTTCTCCGACACTTTTCACAAGGTTACAGATAACGTGTCTACTGCCATAAAATATTAAAGGGTTAGTTCACCCAAAAATGAAATTAGGCTGTATTTTACTCACCCCCGAAGCACCCTAGGTGTATATGACTTTTTCAGACGAATCCAGTCAGAGTTACATAAAAAATTATCCTGACTATTCCAAGCTCTATCATTGCAGTCAGTGGGTATTGCAGTGCTTCAGTCCAAAAGAAGTTAAATAAAAATCGTCTATCCATAAAATAATAAAACAAAGTGTCTCACATGGCTCCGGGGGGTGAACAAAGGCCTCCAGTAGCAAATCGATGCATTTTTGTAAGAAAAATATCCATATTCAAAACATAATAATCACTTTAATGTAGCTTGCGCCAGCAGTTGTACAAAGAAGCAGCTCCGGAAGCATGACGTATGAGGTCAGCATTGCGCATGCGCCGGTGAGTCTCGTGAAAACCAATGTTTGTTTACAGGAGCAAAGGAAGCAAAGCTTCCTTACTTTAGCAAAGGAAAACCAGTCTCTCCTCTTGGCTTATAACGAAATCCTTTGACATTCTTCTTTACAAATCCTCGTTATCCATAAAATAATAAAACAAAGTGTCTCACATGGCTCCGGGGGGTGAACAAAGGCCTCCAGTAGCAAATCGATGCATTTTTGTAAGAAAAATATCCATATTCAAAACTTAATAATCACTTGAATCTAGCTTGCACCAACAGTTGTACACAGAAGCAGCTCCGGAAGCATGACGTATGAGGTCAGCATTGCGCATGCGCCGGTGAGTCTCGTGAAAACCAATGTTTGTTTACAGGAGCAAAGGAAGCAAAGCTTCCTTACTTTAGCAAAGGAAAACCAGTCTCTCCTCTTGGCTTATAACGAAATCCTTTGACATTCTTCTTTACAAATCCTCGTTTTGTACTTCTAATTAGTGACCGTTGTTTTGTTTTGATCTCTCCTTGTGCTTCCGTGTTCGTCACTTCTGAGCGGTGCATGTGCAAAGCCAACATCTTACGTCATCCGCCCGGAGCTGCTTCCGTGTACAACAGTGCGCGCAAGCTAGATTAAAGTGATTATTACGTTTTAAATATGGTTATTTTCTTACAAAAACACATCGATTCGCTACAGGAGGACTTTGTTCACCCCCCGGAGCCGTGCGAGACTTTTTTTTTTTATGGATAGGCGCTTTTTATTTAACTTCTTTTGGACTGAAGCACTGCAACACCCACTGACTGCAATGATAGAGCTTGGAATAGCCAGGACCATTTTTAATATAACTCCGACTGGATTCGTCTGAAAGAAGAAAGTTTCAATATATACAGAAATATACACCTAGGATGCCTCGGGGGTGAGTAAAACACAGCCTAATTTTCATTTTTGGGTGAACTAAACCTTTAAATACAATTCAAACGTATCCTAAATTAGTAATTGTAAACTTTCGAAGCCCCTTGTTTTGTTAGTTTTTTTTTTTTTTTTACCTGAAACCATTTAGCATGTCGCAGAGCCGCTAAATACTCAAGGCACTTGGTCCTGCCGAGAACATCAGGAGGGTCTTTCTCTGAGGCTGCAAGGGCACATGTAGGAAACGTTGTCAATTGTATTTAATGATTTAGCAATCGTAAGAAAACGTAAGTAGATCTTGTTGATATAAAATTATTGATTAAATGACAGAGTTTTTTAGGGTATTTGTGGCAATAGGCTGTGTTAATGTGATCATTACAACACACGTCAAAACAAAGTGACAACACTGAAACATCACAAAACGAGGGGTTTTCCGCACGTCCGGGTTCCTAAAAAAACTGTTGCAATGTTATGCAAAAGATGTAGATGGAAAATATTACTGCTTCGGTCTGTTAATGCATGATTAACAAACCCAAACAGGACAAGTGTGGAGAACCACTTTGTTTTTTTTTGGTTGTTTGAAAGAAATAGAATTGAGCATATCGTTAACAAAATAAAACAACAACGACCTCAGGTTACAAGTCGGAATTTCAGAGGCTTTTGAGATCACGGTTCAGAAACTTCAGGATGAGAGGATGAAATTGTTTTAGGCCACATGGTGGATGATAAAATCCATTTTCTCCAATGTTAAATACTAATAATAAAACTGTAGTTTAGGTTTTGTCTTATTTATAGACACAAAACACCAAAATGTTGCTAAATGTTGTAACTATTGTGAAACTATTCGTACATTGTCAGTCCCAAAATATTAAAGTGGCCGCATTGTTTGATTATGTACAGGGGTGACAAACGTATTTTACAACTGAATTTCTGCATTAAGAAAGAGCTTGTTTTTACCAAGCAATTTTTATTTTTTAACCAAGAAAATTAATGAATTTACTCAAAAAAATTCAGGTACTTAAAAGCAAATTGACATAATATTTGCATAGCATACAGAAAAAGTAACCAAAACAACTAGTTGCGAATTCAGAAACGTAATTATGACAAATTAACGTAATTAATAATTACAAGTGGCAGTTTAATGAGCATAAACAACACTTGCTATAATATAGTGAGAAACACTTTTTTTAACTATTAAAAATAATAAAAGTGTAATAAATGAATATAATATAAAAATTTAAATTAAAATGTAATAAAATAGAAATTAATTTAAAATTAATAATTACAATAAAATTAATTAACAATTTTAATAATAAATTGTTACTAAGCCACCGTTAATTGTTAGAAACTGTTTCTTAACATGAAAATGTCAAGAATCACAATTTTGCGTGATGTGGGATCGACTGTTTTCTGTACACGCGCAAAAATAAATGCGATTGTCACTCCCAAGACTTTACATCAATCACTGCCACATTTATATACACATGAACAACTTGGCCTGAAAAAAAGCTAAACCTCTCTCATCCTGAAGTGCTCATGTATCTTACAACACAACTTGTACAATATTGCGCCACAGTGGTAAAGAAAGGTCAGAGATCCTGTTTTTGATTCCTTAAAACGCTTTCAAAAAGCAACGCAAAAGGTTTTTTAAGGTATCTAATATTTTGATACTTAATTTCCATGATCTAAATATTCTTAAAAGTTAAAAGATTGTCATTTGGAAGTGTGTAGGCCTTCTTGCATTATTATGCCGTTACATTATCATTATATATTCAGTGGCATAAAACGGTCTTTAAAATGACAATAATATCGCTTATCGCAATTATTTCTGGGGCAATATATCGCACAACAAAAAGCTGTTATCGTGACAGGCCTAATCAGATTTGGTCTGGTCAGTTTTTGTCTGAAATGTGATTGTGTGTATTTACCAAAAGGGACGGCACCGGCATGCTGGGCCGGCCCATGAGAGGAGGCGGGGCCATTCGGTGTCTCATCTCCACCCAGTATAACTGCTCCTCCTCCATTCTCCTCCAGTACATATCCTCCTCATACCTCCAGCTGGACGACACATGGAAACGTGAATATTAAAAGTTACAAATAATGCCATCGTAACCAACACACTCCACATTCAGTGTAACAAAAGGATGAGAATTATTATATTCAATTTTAGAAAAATGTACTCAATTTTTTTAAAGAGTGCCAAACTATAAGCATCAATCATATGAGATAATCAACCATTATTCCACAATAGGCATACTCTAGTTTATTATATAAATAATTATTTGTTCAGTTTAATAATTCTATTAATATACAAAAATATACATACATATATTTATACACAAAAATGGCTATTTAATGATAATTATATCATGAAAGAAATTTGTTTTATTTAGTGTATAAAAATTTATCCATTTTTCTTTGAGACCATAAAGTTAAAAATAAATAAATAAATAAATAAATCTAATTATATGAAGAAATTTTCACTGGGCAAGTATTTAATTTACTGTTATATTTTTTTGTTATTTTATGAATTTAATCATTATTAATATATACAGAAACATACTTGCATTAAAATTTAAAAAAAAATAGCATACAATGTTTTGTTTTCTTTCTTTCTCAGGGTGACGTCTTACCTTGTACTGCAGCCGGTGTCTCCGTCCCTTCAGGTGCATATCTTTAGCGTTGGGATCGTTGAAGCTGCATTCACACAGTTTACAGTGAAAGCGAATCACCTTTCCCTCGTCATTTCGAATCTGTATAGGAAAAAAAGGAAAAAATAAAAATCACAATTCAGAGACTTTAATCCCTCAACAGAATGACAAATACCCAATTATCCTAGAATGTCACACATTTACTAGAAGAAATCCTTTTGATTCAGACTGATTTGCTAATATGATTTGCGAATCAATTTGACTGATTCATTGGGTAAAAAAAAAAAAAGACAGATTCACTGTTTTTGTTCAAGTTTTGCTCAATACATTATTGCAAATAATGAAATAATTTGACTGAACGGTCTCACCTCTTCAACATAATCGTGTCCCACAGGCTGAATGTCTCCTTGAGCTCCAGTACCATCACCATCCTCATCTTCACTCAAAGCGTCCGTCTTCACTACAGACGGCTTCACCTCCTCCAGCTTTACCAGAGCTGGTGTGGAAGTTCTGCTGCCTGGAGAGAAACGGATATTAGGGAATTTACTATATTTCATGTTTCAGTAAGATGGCTGTTCATAACGTAACCATGCTACCAAAATGTTTATGTTGTGCAGGGTTTGTTGTACGATTACATCTACATCTATTAGCTCATAGCCTGTTGTTATCTACATAAAGCAAAAAGACTGAGCAGACTTCTGTGTTGATGTCATGTTACATTCTGAAAAACGCATTGCATCAACATGACATCTGAAATGTGTACGAGGAGATTTTTCTTCTGCAAGGCAGGATGTAAATAATCTATTCCCATCCTGTGGGTTTTGTGAGTGATACACTAAAGAGGAAATATCATCTATTTCTGCGATCAGTGTGACCACTGACAGCGTAAGTACTGGTGAAATTAAGATAAGAAGGTGAAATTAATCGCAGAAGAAAACTATAATCTCTACACTGGAAACCTCAGGGATTTTGTGTGACCAAAACTAAGCTTAAACACATTGTGCTTCATTTATGTGCAAACAGGCCTTATAAACATTGTAAACAAATTTAGGTGTAAATTGCTCATAAAACTGTTAACATTTGTTAAAATTAGTTTTAACATTTATTAATCTCTGTTAAATGTTAGTTATTAAAAATAGAGTTTAATATAAGAATCTTTTCACATGCATTAACTATTGATCAAACAAACAACTTTTGATTTAAAAACATTTATTACAAAATGTTAGTTCATACCAAATAATGTATTTAACAAATGCGACCTTGTGAAGTTTTACCAACATTTCTTAAATACATTTGCACAAAATCTGAAAAATTCTTATGTAAATCAGTCGTAAACCAATTTTTGCTTAAATTGTTGCAATTGCATGATTGCACAAACTTATATTCGCAAACAACTCATGCAAGGATAGTTTTACGTATTATTTACACAGAAAGTTAAACAAATGACGCCAAATAAGTTTAGTACGAATTCATCAATCAATTGTAAAACTGTTATGTATCGAAAATATGACTGAATTTGTGTAATTTATTCTTACATAAAAAAAATCGTAAATAATTACTAAAATCATCGTTACGTAAACTGTCACAACTGCACATGTATTTATAAAACATTCACATAAGCTCCGATGTAAATGTCGCAAATGCGAACAAATTCCTTTTAATCGTTCAGTAGTTTTATACTACAGACTTGTGCAATTGTGACAATACTAAGTAATTCGCAAAACCATTCTTGTCAGTTCTCATAATTGCGAACAATTTCTGCGCAAGTCATTCGCAAAGTTAATTGTTTTGAAAACAGATAGTAGTTTGAATGATTTACACAGAAATTCATTCTGCTCACGCTTTACGAAAAAAGCCCTAAATCATTATGTAAACCGTCTCAACAGCAAAACGAATTTATAATTCACATAATCTCCCATGTAACTGTTGCAAGTGCGAACAAATTCCTTTTAATCATTCAGAAAACTTGTTTTATACTACAAACTTGTGCAATTACGAAGACTACGTAAATAATTCAAAAAAAGCATTCGTGTGTAAATTTTCATAAATGCGAAAAATTTCTGCACTAGTCATTCGTAAAATTAATTGTTTTGAAAACAGATAGTAGCCCGGATGATTTACACCAAAATTCCACAGAAATTCATTCTGCTCACGCTTTACGAAAAAAGCCCTAAATCATTATGTAAACCGTCTCAACAGCAAAACGAATTTATAATTCACATAATCTCCCATGTAACTGTTGCAAGTGCGAACAAATTCCTTTTAATCATTCAGAAAACTTGTTTTATACTACAAACTTGTGCAATTACGAAGACTATGTAAATAATTCAAAAAAGCATTCGTGTGTAAATTTTCGTAAATGCGAAAAATTTCTGCACTACTCATTGTTTTGAAAACAGATAGTAGCCCGGATGATTTACACCAAAATTAGTTCCGTTCACGTTTCACGAAAAAAGGTCCTAAATCATTATGTAAAGTGTCGGAACTGCAAATACATTTTTAATAAACTCACACAAACTCCAATGTAAATGTCACAAATGCAAACAAATTTAATTTAGTCATTTTGAAAACTTGCTTTATATTATCTACTTGTGCAACTGCAAAAAATATATAATTCACAAACCCACTCGTGTAAATTCTCATTCTCGCCAAAATTTTTATTGGAATTAGAATTTTTATTTTTTTTATGTTTTATAACAGTGTTCCGAATGATTTACAGAGAAATTCATTATGCTAACATTTAACGAAAAGGTCCTATAAGGTCACTCACCGATAATGGCAACTTTAGCAGTGGCGTGTTTTTTCGCAAGAGACGCCGTGAGTTTGGAAGGAGCCAGCGTCTTCTGCGCCACCGATGTAGGGGTGGGAGCGGTTGTCGCCGCTGTCTTGCTAGTGGTCATTGTCACGGCAACAGGGGCAGAGCTCACGAAAACGGGCTCCGTTGAAGGGATGGGTTTGCCAAGTTTGGTGTGCAACTTTACCACCTGAGGAAAAGTTTGATAGCAGTTGCATTTCAACGAAAAGATTCAAAGATGTCAACAAAGCTGCTACACCAAAACATGTCGAAAAGCCCAAGAGCACTGAAATGGCCAAATTAACCAATCATGGCATTTAACGAACCTTCTGGTGCTTGGATCCCCGGATGTGTGCAGCGTAAGCATCGGCGCCGGTGCATGAGACGTCACACAATTCACAGCGCAGCTGCGTCTGGACTCCACGAGGTCCGTTGGACACCTGACTGCCGCTCTTCTGAGCCGCCTCTTTCTTCTTGTGCTTCTGTCCTTCCAGATGTTCTCGATACGTCTGCAGAAGAGCACAGGATCACGAGTCAAAGAAATACGTTTGCTAGTACTTTCCACTAAATGTGGGAAACTTTAAGGCAAGACACTACAGGCAAAAACATTTTGCTTTTTTCAATGCACTGGTCAGTTGAGAATTTGGGCTATTTGGCTTTTCATAACACATTGTTGAAAAGTGGAAACAAAACATCCAAAATAATTTTTATTTTATTATATTGCACTTTAACTATATGCATCTATAGATTTCAATTACAACACATATCTTTAAAGTCTGTCTTCTACAAATGAGTTTCTCAACTTTAGTAGAACTTACATACTCCAAATTTTACAGTTATATTCTCATCTATAATCTGAATATTTTTACTGAGGGTTTTTTTTTTTTTTACAACATTTTATTTCTAAAAACATGGTGAAATTTACCTTATTTCTTGCTGTTGACAGTATTTTTTTATTTATGGAATGATAAAGAGAGATATTCAAAATCCCTTCTGTAGAAACCTTTGACTCTAATATGTCAACAACAAAAAAACATCTATTCTCTCTGGCTTTTAACTATAGCCGATTTATTGTGTGGTTGTTGGTCTTCTTTTAGTTCTTTAGGCTCATTTTTGTATGTTTTATTGGCTGTTTTTGGACTTACTGTATAGCACATTGGTCAACAATTGTTGCATTTAAAGGAATAGTTCAGCAAAAAAAGGACAATTTTCTGATTATATACATACATCTATGCATCTTGAATGGCCTGGGGCTTTCTTTCTTCGGCCGAAGAGAATTTAAGGTTTTGGAGGAAAACATTCCACTATAGATTATAATTCCAATACATATCTTTAAATGCCGTTTTCTCAAAATGAGTTTTTTCCTCGATTTCAGCAGCACACACCAAATTTTACAGTTTTATTCCCAACTATATCCTTAAGATAAGAGGGGTTTGTTCATTTATCATTCGCCTGATTTTTGTTAAACATAACAGTTTAGAAAACTTGTAATACAAAAACGGGCAAAAAGGCAGGAGCTGGTTGCTGAAACCACGCCCACCTAGCTCGACGGTGGTGACAGCAGCGGCAATCCACCTGTCACTCAAGTGGCCACGCCCTTAATTATGCAGAACTTTAAGGCTTAATATCATTTAAACAAATGAGTTATAAAAAAATCCACCCCCATCACAGTTGTCATGAAGGGCAAAATTAGCTATATAGACCAAAATAATTTTTTGAACCAGACTGTAAACATGTTTTTTTCTGCTGTAAAGTTGGGCATTTTAAGATGAGGAGTCTATGGGACTGACTCCTTTTGCAGCCAGTTGACGAATTACAGTTTAAGTCACTTCCGTGTTGGCTTCACGAGAGAGAGCGGGAGGTTGCCGCTTGCTTCTAACGCGATACCCCAACACTGCCCCTCAGTAAAAATCTTCAGAATACAGATGCTTGGTGTAAGTGCTACTGAAGCACAGGAAAAAGAAATTGGCCTTTAAAGATATGAATTAAAATTTAAGTCTACAATAGATTGGTAACAATCATCTGACACATAAATATATATATTGAACCGTTGGAAATGGTGTACGGTGAGCACCATTCACTTGTGTTAAAAAGAGAAAAATCCAGGAATATTTCTCTCTAAAACGTTAAGTTCTCTTCGGCTGAAAGAAAGAAAGACCAATGCATCTTGGATGGCTTGAAGGTGAGTGAATTATCAGGAAAGTTTCATTTTTGGGTGAAGTTGAATGTGGAGTTCATGCAAACGCTCACCTGCGGACCGGCACAGCTTATCTTGCAGATATCGCAATAGTGCAGCTGTGGCTGTTTGGGCGGCCCTTTGGGTTTTTGGATTTTGCTCTGGTGGAAAATGGGTTTCTTGTATGCATTGCCGGTGGGGGTGGTGATTGCGCCACTCCCGGTGTTGCTCCAAGAGGAGTTGGTGAGCTGTTTTGGAAGTTGTTGCGTCTGCTGCGGTGGTGGCGGCTGTGGCGGCTGCTGGAGGGGCGGTGGAGGTTGAGGCTGCGGGGGCACCATCTGCGCCGGCTGGAAGTACGACGGCGCGGATGTGTAACCGCTAGACTCATAGCTGGAATAGCTGAGACCAACTGAAGCAACAAAGAAAGCAACACAGTTAGACGATACGCTGGCGGCTATTTGTGGTGTATAAATCTGAATCAGCGGCGGCCATACCGGAGTAAGACGTAGCAGCTGTGGAGCTGAAGGAAGAACTGGGGGTGTAGGTGGATATGGGGGCTGGAGTTTGCTGTACGCTGGTTGATGTTGGGTAGATGGTGTAGCTAGAGGACACAGAGCTAGACAGACAGACAGGTAGATAGATAGACAGACAGACAGACAGACAGAGAGATATATAGAAAGACAGACAGAGATAGATAGATAGATAGACAGACAGACAGAGAGATATATAGAAAGATAGATAGATAGATAGACAGACAGACAGGTAGATAGATAGATAGACAGACAGACAGACAGACAGACAGAGAGATATATAGAAAGACAGACAGAGATAGATAGATAGATAGATAGATAGATAGATAGGTAGATAGATAGATAGACAGACAGACAGACAGACAGACAGAGAGATATATAGAAAGACAGACAGAGATAGATAGATAGATAGATAGATAGACAGACAGACAGACAGAAAAGATAGAAGAAAATATAAGTAGGTCGATAGAAAAATCGGTAGATACAGTAGGTAGATAGTTAGATCAGTAGGTAGGAAGATAGCTGTTCCATTTATTGATCCATGGCTTTCAGATGATACACCCATCGCCTCAGCCAAAGCGCCTCCTGCTGACAGCGACACTGATGGAGAAGGTGTGGACGGGACGGGTGTCAACGGGCGTTTGTGGAGGACCGTGATCATTGGTGAACAGGAACATCGGATCGACATGCAGGTCATACGGCCCTATCTGCACGTCATATCGCATGGAGGTATGTCACGCTTCAGAATCAATGTTTATGCAGTTTATATAATCTCTGCTGTGTCCTGAAGTCACTTCTTCTCTGTTCTTTAGGGTACTATGGCGAAGGCTTGAATGCCATCATTGTGTTCACGGCTTGTTACCTTCCTGACAGCAGCTGCCCAGATTACCATTACCTGATGGAAAACCTCTTTCTGTGAGGAAATGAAAATACTTGACTTAGCAAGCACAGCTAAGCCAGACTGTACAATCTGATTTTCTTATATGGCTTCTCTTCACATATTCACACCGTCTGTTCCTCAGGTATGTGGTGAGCAGTCTGGAGATGCTGGTGGCTGAGGATTACCTGATCATCTACATGAATGGAGGAACGCCGCGGAGTAAGATGCCTGGCATTAGCTGGCTCAAGAAGTGCTATCAGATGATCGACAGAAGGTATGGACATAGTCATCACTTTTATGCAAATGGGTTTTTTAAGAAAATGAGATAAACATCTTCAATCTTCATCCTCAGACTGAGGAAAAACCTGAAATCTCTGATTATCGCTCATCCGTCCTGGTTTATCCGGACTGTCATCGCAATTTCCAAACCCTTCATCAGGTAAACATATTATTCAACAAGAGAATGGAAATGAAATTTGAAATTGATTAAATAAAATCATGTACTTATTGAAAAGTCACTGAAAAAGCTAAAATATTGGTCAATTAATCTGATGACTATATTGCATTATATATATAACTTTATTTGTTTTTTAATATATAAAATAAAAATATAAAACATTATAGCCTACCACATAGAAATAAATTCTCATAAATTAACTAAAAGTGCATGGACAATTATTTACAGTTCATTATGCAAGGCTCATCAATGATATTTTATCCTCTACAGCGTGAAGTTCATGAATAAGATCTGTTATGTGCACAGTCTGGAAGAGCTGGAAAAGATTGTTCCTATGGATCATATCCAGATCCCAGAGTGTGTCTTACAGTAAGAAGATTTCAAACATACAAACATATGTTACCCTTTTTTTTACCAGTTTACCCGTTTTTAAGATCAAATTGTCTTTTTTGCAGATTTGAAGAGGGAAGAGTGAACGCTAGAAAAGAGAGGTAATCACCAAACTCCTCAAAATTGGCTTATTGGACACCTATTAGATAATGCTTTGACAAACTGGAAGAGACCAGCAACTCCCAATTTACCCAGAATGCTCTTCTCTTTGTAGAATGGAGCAGGAACAGAAAGAGCAGCAGCATCAAGACCAGCAACAGAAGCCAGTCAATCCAGACACGTGAGCAAACAAACCAAACGCATTATTATGCATGTTTTCGTTTTGCTGCATAAAATAACTGCACAACTCTCTGCCTCCAGGACAACAGCGATTGAAGAACCTGGACTCTGAGCGGACGAGCTTGAATGTTTTTTTTGTTCATTTTTCATATTGCCAAACTATATATTAATATGCATATCAGACGACTCGAAACTGGTCTCAGATCAGCAACAAAGTGGAAACTTTAATCAAAAGTTGGAGGGTGAGAAGGCCAGCTGCTCTCGCTTTCCTCTGCAAAGGCACAATTTTAAAAAAGCATCTCCAAATCCACCAACAGATGGCACTACGCACAGAGAAATGTCACTGTTTTCCCCGGTAGCAGGATGACCATTGTGCACTGTAGCCTCTTTGCAGTTATCGCTTTTTTAAATAGGCTGTTCCCTGCTTTCTGACCCTTGAGAATGTCGTATAACCTGCCTTTAATAGACGGGTGTGTCCGCTCAGGATTCGATTGCTGGTGCATGTTGATTTCCAAGCATCTCTGTGCTTCTCTGTGTGTATGCGCCCAAATCAAATGTAACTGTTTTCCATTATGTTTGCCTGGAATCCTTTCTTTTATGTTTTTTTTTTATGTTTTAACTTCTTTCATCTGTTTAATGACCAGCTTTTGTAAATAATAAGTGCCAGTCATCTCTGAAAACATTTAGCCATTAGCCGTACTTTTATGTTGCCTTATGTTTGGTTCAAAATTAAACATTCTGCTGTATGTATGACTACAATATTGATTTGCTTTTGTCTTTTCTTGATCTTTATATCCAGTGCTGAATAGTAACTGATTACATGTAATCTGGATTACCTAATCATATTTTAGTAAGTGTTTTTATTTTGATTGTTGTTATTTTAAAAATATTTATTTTAATTTTAATTTTTTATGATTTAATTATTAGCTTTTTTCATTAAGCTCATGAACCCCCTTTAGTTCCTTCATGAACCCGTTTGGGAAACCTTGACATAATGTAATGTTTAATGCATTTCATTTTGTTTATTACAATGAATGGACTTTTTTTTTTCTTTGTAATTTTATATGGTACAAGATTATCCTATTTAAATGTGATAGTCAAAAATAGTAATCTAAAAGTAATCTGATTATCTAAAATGTATATGTAATGGATTATGTTACTAAATACAATTTTTGTCATGTACATTGGAATCTACCCAGCACTGTTTATATCTGACTTACTAATAATATTATGTTCTGAAAGCTAATTTATGAAAGAAAAACATTTATTTCTTAAATTCAGAAAAAAGGTGGAACTTTACCTCTCAACATCCTATCAAACAAATCAAGCACCAGATTTCAAGGAAGAGTTGTGTAGACGTCTTCCATCCAGTCACAAGAAAGTTATTTTCGTATTTCCATGATGTGACAGACTATTCCTGTATGTATGTGACCATTATACCAGCATTGACCTCGGAGTCACACTCTCTTTGACCTAAATAAAGAATGACCCTCGGTGTCATGGACACTTGGAAATGGGAAACAACTCTACAGCCATAAATTCGACACTGCTTTGCTTTGACCATAAGCATGTACACCTGTATATTGTAGTTTTAGTCAACAAAATTCAAATGTATATGAATATTTCATATTGATTACCACTGAAAGGCAGTTAGCATGCTTGAAAGACATTACGAATTAAATATTTTACACTGTAAAAGTGTACAAGATATCCTTCCCACATGGTACAAGCGTACGTCTGTGATGTATTAACCGTACCAACGCACCACAAGCAGTGTTGGGGGTAACGCATTACAAGTAACGTGAGTTACGTAATCAGATTACTTTTTCAAGTAACTAGTAAAGTAACGCATTACTTTTTAATTTACAAGAGAATATCTGAGTTACTTTATTTTTACAATTTATTGATTGACAGCTCTCTGGTCCCAATGTTGAGAGAAATCAGATGTTACTGTAGTTCTAAAATAAATATGAATATGCATTAATTCATCTCACTCACACACAAAAAACAGATTCAGTATTCCTCAAAATGAAAATAATGCAACTCAGAATATGACGCAAACCTGCAATAATTAAATGTTAAACAACACAAATATGCTTTATGTATTTAATCCCATTCTATTTGCTTCTGACCTTCGATGATCCAGTTCAACCGTACTAATAAGCACACATTACTCTAGACAAACATCTGTGTCTTATTTTATTGCTGAAGTGTGTTGAAATGTCTTCTTCTGCATTCTACTGTACTTTCCCTTCAGCCTGAGGCGCATTCATTTCACTTTTGGTGTGAAAAGGCTTTTATATTTGCCAAAAATAGAACTTTTTTATTTTAAAAGCAAACAAGCAAGCCCTGTCCAGATTTAAAAAGTAACGCAAAAGTAACGTAACGCATTACTTTCCATAAAAAGTAACTAAGTAACGTGATTAGTTACTTTTTATTGGAGTAACGCAATATTGTAATGCATTACTTTTAAAAGTAACTTTCCCCAACACTGACCACAATGCATGTTTTCCCTGCAAGGATCCCGGAGGATTATTCTGACCCCTTACCTAAATATTTGAGTGTCCATTGAGGATATCCATAAAACACTCGTCTAATCGTCTCTGTCCTTGTCAGCTGGTATTACAGGAAATGTTCTTTTTGTTTGTTTCTTTTAGTGTTGCTAATTTTAATATGTTTTCAAAGAATGGCTCATAGTTATGTAAGATAATCAACTTATTACACTTATTTTTTTCCTTATTTGTTCTAGTTGCGCTAACTTGTACCAGTTTATCTGAATCGTGGAATTCGTGAGAATTCATAGTTACAGCGTGTTCTTTCCTGCGTGAGCCGCGATTGGCTGCCTAGCACGTAAGCCACGCCTTTTCTGTGACGTTTAACTTTGGTTACATCCCCACGTGCAACTCTGTTGTTCTCACATCGCATGATCGCACTAGTGTCTACGGTGATAAAACTGCAAATTTAGCTTGAAGCGGAAATTTTAATCGTACGTTTTTATTTTATTTCTACGTTGTAAAACCCAATCAGGTCGGATACAATGAAGTACATCATTGGAATAGGAGGGTAAGTGGCTTTTTACAATAATATTATACTTAGTTGTAATAGTTACAGTCGAGCCTTGTGGCTTATAATATTTTTAAATGAAGATATATATTATACAAGTAGTAATTTATTACTTACCGTGTTTTAATCTCATTTCTGACGGGGTTGAGTGTTTTTAGAGACTTCAGAGCTTTGAAGCGTGCGAGTTTTTGAGCGGGAGATTTAAAATTGTGAGCGCGCCGAAATGTCTTCGTTTTTAACGGACATTCGCGCCTTAATATATCCAGTCATCTATTAATATTTTTTTTTATTGTGTATTAAGTAAAATAACAGCTTTTAAATTCATTTTTCTTGTTTAGTTGCCATATTTAATGTTATTTGTGATTGTAATGAGTTTGTGCCTCACCACCAATGGCTTTAAGGATGTAAATATTAAAGAAAGTGACTTTAAAGATGTCGAAAGTTGCTGTGTTTAATAATGAAGGAGATTATTATATTGAACACGTGGATAACTAACAGCAATGTAAGCCTGGGCCAGTTTGTTGTCATAAACCATCTGAAGGAATTGGAACTGAGGACCATCCCGCCATTTTTACTTGAATACATTTTTCATATACACGATTAAACAAACTTAAAATACGTTTAGTCGTTCGGCTTTTTGATTCATTTCAGCTCGGGTTTATCATTTTAACCTTCCTTTTTATTTTTTAGTGTGACTAATGGTGGTAAAACCACCCTGACGAACAGATTAATAAAAGCCTTACCAAACTGCTGTGTGGTTCACCAGGATGACTTTTTCAAGGTGAGTTCAACTAAATGTTATATATATTTTTTTTATTTTGGTGTTGGCTCTAAAAAAAATTTAACCATTCCTTTTGATTAAAAAAACTTTAGCTGTACATTTCCCCCTAGTCTTTTCATGTTTAGGTTAGTAATTCAATAATCAGTTGGGTTTTTTATGACTATATTTTATTTGTTGTGCTATTTTAATTGTAGCTTCCTATTCTTGCCTGTTGTAGTACTGCATGCATGGATTAAATAAGTCCAGATTAAATAATAATGACTCTTTACGTTTGCTTTTCCTCTATTTTATTTGATAACTTTCATCTGGCTCCTTGCATAAGGCTGAGGGTCTGTGTATATAACATATTTAAGAACTCAAAAGTGCTGATCCAAAATCAGCTTCCTCCCATTCATCGGGTTATGATGGCCGAGACCTGATTCTAGATCAGCAGTCTGGCTCAAATATACATGACGGCATTTGCTGCAGTGTTTTACTGGTCACTGTTATTTCAGCCGCCGGATCAGATAGCAGTCGGAGAGGATGGCTTTAAACAGTGGGATGGTAAGAATATAAACAGTAGGAGAGTAATAACTCCTCATTCTACGCATCGCCCTCCCATAACAAAGACTTTACGATCCCTCCCAACCCATTTACATTCTCTGTGTGTGGCTTTGCTACAAGTGAATAAAAAATTCAACTTCCATTTTCGAGTTTCAAGCTTGTGCTAAAAGCCTGTGTTCTGCTTTTGTAGTGATCACAGCTTTGGATATGGAGGCCATGGTGAACACCGTCAAGGGCTGGATGGAAAACCCAATCAAATTCGCCCGTTCTCACGGCATCCAGGTGATCCCAGCCATGGAAATGGATGACCCTGAGAGCCAAGTGCACATACTCATCGTAGAAGGGTTTCTGCTGTACAACTACAAGTGAGCGACATATTTAACTTCTGGAGGGCTGAACTGCATGAATGGCAAAGATTAGTTTCTGGGAAAGTTTGGTAGCATGTACTGAACGTATAGGAAGGGACCATCGGGGCATACATGCTGTTCATGTGACGCTCTGCATTGGTGTAGATAAGGAGATGCGCTGAGCTATTGGTGGGCACATGGAACTGTATGTGCTGATTTCTGAGCCGGCTATGTAGAAGTGCTGTAATCAGACTTCACTCGTAGTTTCAGATACGGTGTTCTTTTTAAGGTTATGACCTTTTTATCTTTTTTCTTCTCCAAACAGGCCGTTGCTGGAATTCTTTGACAAATCATATTACATAACCATCCCATACGAGGAGTGCAAGTCAAGGAGAAGGTGTGTTGAAATTGCAATCATACACTCATGATTTGTGCTAAATATGAGCAGCTGAAATAAATGTGTATTTATTTCAGAACAAGGCAATACACCGTCCCCGACCCTCCCGGGCTCTTTGACGGTCACGTGTGGCCCATGTACCTGAAACACAGAGGTGGCATGGAGAACTGTGGTTTGCCGATCGGTACGGTAGACGTCCTTCAGACTTTTGATTTTGTGCTAAAACCACACTATTTTAGATAAACACTCATTTTGTGTCACGTCTACTTTAACAGAATACTTGGACGGCTTGAAAACGAAAGACGAAATCTACAACCAGGTTCACGAAGACATCCACAACACACTCCTGAATCGTTTATAGGTAAGAAAGCCAATCCAGATGTTTGCTGAAATAATTAATTGTATTTGTTTATGCGTCGTCATAAAGGAACTTGTTTTGTTTTGTCTTTCAGCAATAGGAGTTTGCTGCTGATCATCTGTACACTATTGTAAATATCAATCTTACTTGATGTGGCTTTTTTTTAAACATGTAATGGAATGTAACTTAAATACTTGTGGAGGAACCTTTTTTGCATTACCTTTTTTTTGCCGTTGTCTTTCAAAGCACTCCTTGGTGACTTCGTTCTGGAAATAGTCTGTTTACCACAAAAAAAAGAAATGAATTTCTGAAATTTGTTTGTACCTGTGTACCAATAAACATTGTGCTTTGACTTCTTTACATTTGTCAGTCTTTGCATCAGACGTTGCATTTTACTAGCTAGTTTTTTTTTATCATAATACATTTGAATTTTTATTATTTTAAAATGAGTTCTTTGTATACTTTGTCCACTGTGAGCATTTGTTTTAATTGAGTCTAAACAAGGGGAATTTAGAGTTAGTTAAAACACAAATACTGTGAATATGTGAACTTCAGCAAAATAAGAGCTGAATTTCAACAAGACCATTGACTAACGTTCATGGTTTTCCCCTTCTAAAAGTGTCCTAAAACGGTCTTAAAATGATAAATAATCTGCCAAATAACATTCCTTTTCTCCCAAATTAGCTTGCATTTGACCCATGGATTATTTTTATAAAAACATAACCTTTAAATGCATACAGTAATCTCCATGATCAAATAATCATCCTTTTCACTCCAACACAAGTTCCAGCTCAGCTCTACTATATATTGCTGTGTGCAATAAGGCCTATGCTGACGTTCAACCTGCATGAAAACAAACATCGTCTAGACATTTTCCTGAATAAACCTTGAGCTCATGTTTTAAACTGTTGAATGTGCCTATGTGCTTTTAAATAGAGTCCCTTTCTCATGTGACAAATGCCTACACATTCACTTTGAATATTTGTGCAATGAAATAAGTGGAAGGGGAAAGTGAAGACATTCATCGCTATTAGGAGCAATTGTCGTCATTGGGAGATTGGAATGGTTTAAACATTTCGTAGGGCAGATTTTCTTGTGACAATGGCATGACTGAGAAGTTCACGTTATTTAATAAGTTTTATTGGTGAAGAAATAACTATTGTTCACATGCCAGTAATAAACCCTTATGCAGTTAAATAAGAGAACCAATCATATGCAATGATCCGCAATAAAGAAAGACTAGAAAACAAATAGCCTATGGGATTTTTTTTGTCGACTAACTATGCCTTTGCTATTAAGGTGGCACCACATGTAATTTTTTGTATATGGTGTGGTGTGCCTGTTGGTGTATATGTGAAACCTCCAGGAGGAAAAAATGGAAAGAGAAAGAGAAACGCCTCACAACGTACCGCCTTCATCTGTACCTGGACTTATTTAACAGCTTTTGGGAGCAAAAAGTACTGCACTTGCACATGCATCCTGCTCACAAATTAGTCATTTTAAAATGACAAAATATTCATTCATTCTCTTCTTCTCCATACACCTGTGCATCCTGGTGTGTTTGAGCACCACACAGCACCACGGACCCTGGAGACACAAGGTAAAGTGGGAAACTAATGGACAGGTTTACAGTTTACTGAGCACCGGTTCTCAGTATCACACACATTTTTCTGCAAAAAGGAACGCAAGGTTTTTATTGACAAGGCTTATGCCAACATTCTCAAGCAGGATTTTCATGGGACATTTTGCCAATACTAAGATACACACAGTTGGGCATGCGGTGCATTCAAACTCTATGCCAGGGCACAGTCTTGGTATGGATGCAAGACCCTACATGATGTCTGGTTACGCATCTCACATGAGGAATAATAACCAGATGCCTTTGCATGCAACTGCACTTTCTTCTGACGAAGCTCTGCGTCCCCAGCCCATCCAATATGGGACAGCACCGACTGGCACAACTACACTGGAAGCTTCAGGGAGCTCAAGAGCATCAGGACGCCATCATTTAGTTACCAGCACACCAATGCCAAAACAAACATCACCCATTGCAGCTACTGGAAAACCACCCACTATCAATTCTGAGAAGAATCCGCTTCCTCAACTTTCCACTTTGACCGGGAGTAAAATTGCTAATGAATCTAAACTTTCAACAAGAACCAGTTTGGCTGCACCTTCAGCAACTGTTAACAACAGAAATACAGTAAATCCTCCCCTCCAGGGTGCGGAAAGAAGAGGAGGTGACAGTATGACTGGTGATGAACCAACGAATCCTCAAGTAAACTCGTTTTACTATAATCTGCTCCCGTATGGAAGTGTCGATAGATCTCCTCAGAGAGAAACGGGTCATGGTACAAGCTATTTTCATAACGGTAAGACAACATTTTATGCTTTTTAGTCAAAGTGCAAATTACAATGACTTAAAGTAAGTTTCCCTGATAGCACACGTACATCATGGAGACATCTATTTGACATCTGTATTTACATCTGCAAGACATATTTTTTAGAGTGTTTGCTCATCTCCAGTACGTCTATAGGACGTTTCCTATCAGATGTCAAATAGACGTTTAGAAGATGTCTTTAAGATGTTTATAATTTAGAATGCATGTAAAACTGACATCTTAAAGATGTCTATCAGATGTTTGTACACAGCAGATGCTTTCCAGATGAAGCGATCTTTAGCAGACCTCTTGCAGACGCACCTGTGCTATCTGGGTTTATTAAGTAGCGCTAACAGGTTACTCTCACGCACACTTAATCATTGCATTAATTAAGAACTTAATTATTAAGTTCTAAGAATATTTTCCAGGTCTGCCTGATCTCATTCCCGATCCATACTATATCCAAGCAGCATCTTATATCCAGAGAGTTCAGATGTACACATTAAGATGTGCTGCAGAAGAGAACTGCCTCTCCAGGTACTGACTGTTTGGGAACCAAACTACGAAATCAGTAAAGAATTAAAACCTTTAAACCATTTTATACAGAATATTTGCCTTTTTCCTAAAGTTCAGCATACAACTCGAGAGTGAGGGACCTTGATTACAGAGTGCTTCTCAGATTTCCTCAGAGGGTCAAAAATCAAGGCACAGCAGACTTTCTCCCTGTGAAACCACATCATCAGTGGGAATGGCACAGCTGCCATCAGTAGGTTTCTGACAACTTTATGTTCTACAACATTCAGCATTCTCCTTGATTCTACAGAAAGGTAGAAGAAAGGGTGAAGATATTGTTTTATTCTTTAGTGTTAAAGGGGTCCTATTATGCTCTTTTACAAAGTCTTGATTTTGTTTTGGGGGTGTACTAGAACAGGCTCTCATACTAGGTTGTTCAAAAACACATTATTTTTCACATATTTTACATTATTTAAACTCCTCTCTCCCCAGTCTGGCATGAACGGCTCAAATAGTTCCTGAATCAAATGAAGTGCCACCGTCTGAAATACGAAATGAACTT